ATCTCACCTCAGAAGCAGTGGCAAAGTTTAACAGGACAAGTAATAAATACTGGAGAGGTTGCAGAGAGATAGGAACTCTCATACACTATTTGTGAGATTGTAAAATGGTAGAACCACTCTGGAAAGCAGTTTGGCGTTTCCTCAAAAGGCTGAACACAGAAATTCCATGTGACCCAGCTATTCCACTGCTAGGAATATACTCCAAGAAAATTAGAACAGAGACACAAACGGAGATTTTGTATACCAATGTTCATAGCGGCATTATTCACGATCGCAAAAACAGAAACAGCCTAAAATGTCCAACCACAATATAATGGGTTGTGAAATTGTGGTACATTCACACAGTGGAATACTTTGCAGCATTCAGGAGCAACAATTTTGAAAACTACTATACAACCAAGGGAGCTCTGGTGGCCTAGTGGCAAAAAGCTGTGCTGCAATCCCCAAAGGCAAGTTCAAGGCCACCAGCTGTTCTGCAGGAGAAGGACAGGAGGAGGGCAATCTCCTCCCATACGATTAACTGCCTCTGAAAACCCACCAGAGGGTCAGCTATGGGTTGGTTCTGACTCTCCAGTACACAACAGCAACAACTGCATAGTGGGAGAGACTGGAGAACATTGTGCTGAGTGAACTAACCCAGTCTCATAAGGACAAATACTGCATAAGATGATTATTGTAAAAACAGAATGATAACTATTAAGACATGTTTAGGGACCCAAGGGGAGGGTAAGGAGTGGGAACAGAGGGGTGAGGATGGGCGAGGAGGGGACATCACGGGGTCAAACAATGTGGTGGGTGGAGGGGGCAGGTAAAGGAAATAGAAAAGATCCAGTGGGGGAATCTAAAAAGATGGGATAATTGTGGGCATAATTTAATGGTTATTAATTTTACAAAACACAAAGGAATGACTGTATGAAACACAATGTGAACTAAGGATAGTGTGAATCACAACGTATAAGAATTTTGTATGCACACCAATGTAAAATAAAAATGAAAAAAGAAATAACTCATAACAGAAAACCAAAACTAAAAACATTAGAAATGAAATAAATTAGACATAAAAGGCCCAAAAGTTTATGTGAAATACCAGGAATACATAAAAGACAAAAGGAGATTGGTGGTTAGTGAGGTTGGGACAATAAGCTTTTTGCTTTGTGGTTGTTTTTTTTAAAGAGCTTATTATAGGAACGAACTGTACAAAAATTTTTAAAAACTTAAAAGAAAATAAAACGAGGGATTATAAGAAATAAAAATTAAATGACAAAGGCAAGAAACGACTTCTGATGGAACAATAGGCCAAGGACGATTTCCTAGAGAGAGCAGCCTTTGGGGTGCAAGGAGGCTGAGGCACTCTCTGCCCGCAGGGGAGGCCAGCATGAGCAATGACTTAGAGGCTAAATTTGAAAAAGAAGGAAACAAGGAATTTGGCAATATTTTCTTAAGGAAACATACTGAATTCTTTTTCAAAAAAGAGTACTTAATTCGACATTGGGAATATATGTAGTAAAAGACACATCAATTGAAAAGTTTCTGTATACACAATCCAGTGACATAAACGATATTCCTTGAATTGTGTAAACCATTTTCAATCTCCTTTTCTGAATTTTTCCTCCCTCGTTAACATAAACTCATTGCCTCTGATGAAATTCCTCTATAATATTGCTGTTACTGTTTTCCATTTAATCCTAAGTAGGTTCTTATATACTCTTTTTAAGAGAGTATAACGCTCAAGGCAAACCTCTTTTGCTAATTAAGCTAGATGATTCTTAGTTTTTGGATAATTAAAACGAAGTTTTAATGTGATTTCAGGGGTCATTTTTGATCTAAGGTTTAAATATTATCTCAGAGTAATAGTTTCAGTGGTTCATGCACCGTCCATAGCTACAACACACTCAAACACAGTTTCTATCCACATTGGAGCAGGTATCAAGACTTCCTTTCTCCTTCTGGCTGCATCTCTTGCTCTTTGTCTCTCATTGTTGTCCTGGGGGAACCAACTCATAGCTGACTCCACAGTTTTTGGAGGATTTTTGGAGGCTATAAATTACATAAAAGGAGGTTGCCCATCTTTCTCTCAAGGAGTGGCTGGTGGATTCAAACCACCTGTCATTGGATTGACAGCACAACTCCTTCCCCAACAGGTCACCAGAGCTTCCTACTGGCTAAATAGTGTTACATTTCATAGCACATTTTTTTGTCAGCTCATCTGCAATGGACATTTAGGTTGTTTCTATCTCTTGGATACTTTGAGCAGTGCTGATGTGTGTACAAGCTTTTGAGTCTTTGATTTCTCATGTTTGAATTTGCACCTAGGAGTGAAACTGCTAGATTATATGGTAGTTCTATTGTTTATGTCTTGGTGAACCACCACACTATTTTCCACAGTAGTTACAGCATTTTGCACTCTTATCAGTAGTGGATAAGGATACAATGGATTGATTTTTAAGGATAAAACACTATATATAAGAGAAATTCCATGACTGCAGCCAATGCCTTAAGTACCAGACATGTGGGGCATTCGACCTCTCTTTTAAGGACAAAGTGGAACTGTGTAGAAAGCAAGCTGTGAAGACTAACTCTACACATTTTATTTATTCCACAAGTAGTTTTTGAAGTCACTATGTCTCAGGTGCCCCGTTCTCCTTAGAACTGTCTAGGCAGGGAGGTGACATACAAAGCCATGAGACTGTGGATTAGGGAAACACTATCTGCCCAGGATATATGCCAGGAATGTGTCCTATCTCCATGCCTTTACAATCCAGATGTAGAACAGATCATCCGGAAAGCTGGGCTGTATGAGGAGGAATGTGGCATCAGGATTGGAGGAAGGCACATCAACAACCTGCGTTATACAGATGATACAACTTTGCCTGCTAAACCTGAGGAGGACCTGAAGCACTTGCTGTGGAACATAATGGACTGCAGCCTTCAATATCGATAGAAGCTCAACATCAAGACAACAAATAGTCTCAACACTGGGCTGAATGGCAGCATTATGATAGATGGTGAAGAGATTGAGATTGTTAACAGCTTTAGTTCACTTGGCTCCACAATAACACTCTCAGTACCAGCAGCCAGGAAACCAAAACACAAACTCTATTGGGAAAGTCTATTGTCAGAGACCATTTCAGAGTACTGAAGAGCAACTCCAATCTGGAGACTAAGGTGCGCCTGATCCAGATCATAGTCTTCACAATTGCTTGCTATGCATCAGAAAGCTGGACAATGACTAGGGATGATAGAAGGAGAAATGATGCCTTTGAGCTGTGGTACTGGAGAAGAGTGTTGAATACACATACCATGGACTGCAAGGAAAACAAACAGGTTCATCCTGGGCAAGGTGGAACCAAGCTCCTTGGAGGCAAGAATTCTGAGGCTCCGTCTGACATACTTTGGGCATGTTCCAAGGAGGGACCAATCTTGGATAGGGATATTATGCTTGTAAGGGTGGAGGAACAGTGCAAGAGAGGAAGACACTCAATGAGATGGACTGATGCAGTGACTGGGATAATGAGGATAGGTGTGTCAGAGACAGTAAAGTTGGCACAGGAAAGGGCAGGATTTAGGGCTGTTGTACATAGGGTCACTAAGAGTCGCAAGCAACTCAGTGGCACATAACAACGAATACGTTTGTCCAGGTCCGTGTGCAGGCTTTCAGAAGGATGCAGGGTTTAAGTATTGTTTGATCAGGGCAAGGGAAGCAGGAAGGGACAGTGTGTGCAAAATTCTGAAACAGGAGGGGGCTTGGCCAGTGTGCCTGGAACCCAGGGAGTGAATAAGACAGAGGATCAGGCCCAGGGGCAGACCTTGAGGGTATAGAAATGTCTTCTGTCTTTATCTGAAAAGTGTTGGTAAAGTACAGGAGGAATGATTCATTGAATACCAATTCAATAGTTTATAAATGTACAACTCAGTACACTTACTACATTCTTCAAGTTGTGAAACCATTCCCACCATCCTTTTCCAAATGATTCCTCCTCTAAGAACATAAACGCATTGTCCCCTAAGCTTCTGATCTAATCACTCACGTTTCTGTTGTCAATTTGATTCCGTCTAGATTGATCTTAAATAAGCACAATGCTCAAGGCTGACTCTTCACTGGTTAAGCGAAACTACTTGTTATCTGGTTTTAAGAAGACTTCAGGGAACATTTCTGGTTTAAACTTCACATACAATCTCAGTCCAGTATTTTTGGGGTAACCAAGTCTCTATGGTTCCAGAAATACCGAATTCTGAGAATTTGACCTTCGGTTTTGCATATTTTTTCCTCTTTTGATCAGAATTCCTCTATAGAATTTTTGAAAAAAATAACCCAATAAACCCAAGCACAAGAATCTGTAACAGTAACAGGGCACTGTCTGGCTCTTCAGGCCTCATAGCAAGAAAGCAGTTGTTCACAGAGGCAGTCAGTAATACATTGTACTTCATCCTCCCATGCTTGACTCTCCTTCCTCCGGTGCTCCAGAAATGAAGCCCAGTTGTCCACAGGGAGGATGGTAAGGAGCAGAGATGCACAAGATTAGCGTAGTAATCAAGCAGATGGATGGTCAAAGACCTCCTGTGTTTTTCATGACAATGATGCCCAGGTCTGATCCCAAGTCAAGTACTCTCGTTTCTAAACTCTTACAGAAAGTTCTCCTCTCATCACATTCAGAACCCCTACGCCAGGAAATAGGGATCTGGCATCATGTAGTCTTGGGCCCCAATCTTATCTCTGTCACCTAGTTGCTGGGTGACCTCAAGACATCTATGTATCTTGGTAAAATGGGGTACACTTATCTCCTAGAGTTAGTCACTGTGTGGATTAATCAATATAGTGCTGCTTAAAATCCTTAACCCTTAGCCTGGAGCATTGTAGATGCTAAAAAAAAAATTAGTTAATACAGTTCACATATTGCTAAGAATGAATATAAATGATACAGAAAGACCATGAAAATAGAAAAAGATTCTGGAGAACCTGACATTCTAAAGGGAAGGAGACAGATGGGATTTCCACTTACTTGCAAGCAGGAGGCAGGAGACCGCCACAGTGTACAGGTGCTTGGAGGTGGAGATATTGTAACGATCCATGAAGTGGTCCAGCAGGTAGACTGCCAGGTGCCGGGCTGTGGGGCACAGCTGGCAATGGCTACTCAGCAGGGTCAATACATCCACAAAGAACCGGCGGCTCTTCAGGAGCGGAGAGTGGGCTCGGAAGGCGGGCAGCTTCAGTTCCTGGAGGACAGGTGGGACAGATGAGGGGGTGTCAGCTCTGCCTCCTGAGAGTGCTGGGTTTCCCAAGAGAGCGCAACACCGGAGTGTGCCTACTGACTAGTTAACAACTTGTGGCCATCAAGTCAGAACTGACTCACAGCTCATCCTCTAGGGACTTTCTGAGTCTGTAAATAGCAAGAGAGGGACTATTAATCTTCCTGCCATGGAGTGGCTAGTGGAATTAGAACTGCTAGAGTGGCCTGTGGATTCGCAACACAACTCCCCATGGACCAGGCCACCAGAGCTCCCTGCTGGCTGGTTAATAGGCAACGAACCCCTCCAGACTCTTCTGGGCTCTCAAATCACCAGGTTTTATAATAGGATTTATAAAACACTATTCTAGAAAACTCCTGAACTATCTCCCAATCACCTTTAAGTACACAGCTAACTCCCAAACACCTTCACCAGGCTTCTGAAGTGATCAGGAATTGCTGTGGTTGAACTGTGTCTTCTAAAATGATTCGCTGAAATCTAACCTTCGGTACCTATGTACACAATTGTATCTGGAAAGAAAGTCTTTGCAGATGTAATTGGTCAAGCTCACCGGCCCTAAATCTAATGACAGGTGTTCTTAAGGAGGACAGGAACACAGAGACACAAAGAGAGGAGAACATCAGATGTAGATGGAGGCAGAGAATGCAGGGATGCATCAACAAGTCAAGAAATCCAGGCAACACTGGGAGCTAGGAGATGCTTCTCTAGATTCTTCTCTCAAGAGGGTATCACTCTGCCACCACCTTGATTTCAAGCTTGTAGTCTCCAGAACCAGGAAAGGATTAATTTCTTTTAAGCAACTTAATTTCTTGTATTTTGTTAAGGCATCCCAGGAGAATACAAGAACCTACTCCAAAGTACTGGAGAGCAATGATGCCAGTCTGGAGACTAAGGTGCACGTGATCCAGGCTATAATCTTTGCAATTACTTGCTATGCACCAGAAATCCAGTCAATGACTAGGGGGGATAGAAGGAGAATTGATGCTCTGGTGCTGGAGAAGAGTATTGAATATACCTTGGACTTCTAGGAGAACAAACAGATTCGTCCTAGAGAGGGTTAAACCAGGCTACTCCTTGGATGCAAGGATTCTTAAGCTTTGTCTGACATACTTTGGACATGTAGCAAGGAGGGACCAGTCCTCGGAGTGGGACGTCATGCTTAGGAAGGTGGAAGGACAGTGCAAGAGGGGAAGACCCTTGATGAGATGGATTGTATTCAGTGTCCGGGGTAATCGAGTTACGTGTGTCAGAGACAATAAGATTGGCACGGGATACAGCAGGGCTTAGGGCTGCTGTACATTGTGTCGCTATGAGTCGCAGGCGACTTGACAGCACATAACAACAATAGCAACATGTTTCTTGATGACAGAATGGGCTCTGAAGAAGCCAACTGTCCAGAGTTCAGAGGTATGCTGTGTGACCACCACTAACAACATCAGTTGCCTTCATAACAACTCACGTCAGCCCACGGTGGCCCCTTGTGTGTCACAGAAGAACTGTACTTCATGGGGTGTTCAGCGGCTGATTTTTAAGGAGTAGATTGCCAGACCTTTCTTCTGTGGCATCTCCTGGTGAACACAAACCTCCAACTTATTGGTTACCAGTTAACTATATACACTGCCCAGGGCCTCCTCACCTTTGGTAACCAATAACTACATAAACACTGGATGCAAAGAACCTAGCCCATATTAACCTCTCAAATTCACAGCTTAATTCTCTGTAAGTGGGATAGTGATAGATAGTTTAGAAAAAAATTAATCTAAATAAAGCTGGAAATAATAGCAAAAGAAACTCCTAAGATCCTTTGCCTAGATCTCCAATTGTCAGCTTTGTCTTTCTTGGTCTCTCTGTGTCCGTGCACACATAAATGTATATACGCGTGAATGCACACACACTTTATTTTGAAGGTAAGATGCAGACATCATAGTATTTTCTGGACAAGAAGACTTTTACCTGGTAATACACACTTTCATGTTATCTGAATTTATTTTTCTAACACAAGAAAAACCAACAGCAAAAACCAAGCCAATAATTTTATGATGGAATGTGTTCCAAACCATCTACCACATTTACAATCTAACCGAAATAGACCAGACACTGTTTGTTAAGGAAATGTCTTAGATACATTTTGTCTAATAGGAAATTAAAGAGAAGCAAAATTGAGGAGAAAACAGGAAAGAAGCTGGCAGAGAAAGAACTGCGAGAGCCTCTAATACAGCTGACTCACTGAGGGATGAGAGTAAAACAAACTGAAGTCCGTCCCTTGTATAATGTCTTTAAGTCTAGAGTTTTATTGAACTAGAAAGAATTTTGGGACTCAAAGGGATCATTTGTTTTTTTATTCATTTACTCACTCATTCAAGAGTTCATTCATTTCACTCAATAAGTCACCTTCAATATACTAGTCGTTATTCTAGAAACCCAAACATTAGAGATGTCCCTGCTGATGTCAGATTTTGGCTGAAAGCAGAGAATACCAGAAAACCATTTATTCATGTTTTCTCAACAAAGTAAAGGCATTTGAAATTGTGGCTAACATTTTAGAAAAAGAATGGAACCCCAGAACGCTTAATTATGCTCTTGTGAAACCTATATCTAGACCTAGACCAGGAGGCTAGTGTCCAAATAGGACAAGGGTACCCTGCACGGTTTAAAAAATAAAAAATGGTGAGCGTCAGGGCTGGATCCTTTCCCCCATACCTATTCAATTTGCACACTGAACAAACCACTTAAGAAGCTGGGCTCTATGAAGAAGAATATGGCATCAGGATTGGAAGAGACTTATCAACAACCTGCATTATGCAGATGACACAATCTTCCTCAGTCATTTGGTTAGTGTGGGGAGGATAACAAATAAAAGAAAACTTGGATACCAAGCCCTGTTTAGGATCTCTGTGGTCTTCAGCAATTTATTTATTTAATAGTTTTGTTAAAAGTTAATTACAGATGAGTTCTCTCATCTGTAATATGGTAATAACAGCAATCTCAGAAGACTGCTGGGGAAATACATGTTATCTAAAATGATAGGAGAAAGGAGTTATCCACAACATCCTTCATGACTGCCAGAGTTACGTTCAATTTTCCAGCAGAATTCCCTTTCTCTTCATTTGTTCTTTTTACTGACCAATATAATTAATATTACACACAAGCAAAATATTGCTAAAGGTCATCAAAAAATGGCTAATAATGGTATATTGACAGAGAAGTGCCTGAAGTTGAAGCTGGATTTAGAAGAGGTCATAGCACCAAGGATATCACTGCTGATGTCAAATGGATCCTGGCTGAAAACAGAGAATACCAGAAGAAGGTCTATTTGGGTTTTATTGATTATCTGACTACATGGATCATAATAAACTATGGCTAAAACTGAGAATAGGAATTCCAGAAAATTTAATTATGACTACACAAAACCTGCAGCTAGACCAAGAGCCTTGTTCAACCAGAGCAAGGGAACACTGTATGGTTTAAAAGTGTGCATCTGCCAGAAAGGTAGGTATCTTGGCTGTATCCTTTCTCTATACCTATTAATTCAAGAAGTTGGGCTTTACAAAAAAGAATGCAGAAAAAAGGATTAGCAGAAGATTCTCTATCAACATCTTTGGTATCAGAAGTCAAGAAATCAAAAGATGAGTCAGTCACATTGGGAAAGTCTGCTGACAGGGATGTGTCCAGAGTACAAAAGAACAATGATGTCAGTTTAAAGTCTAAGTTGTATCTGATTCAAGCAATGGCCTTCCAAATTGCTTGCTATGCAGCTAAAAGCTGGACAATGACTAAGAATGACAGAAGAATCTGAGTTGTGGTGTTGGAGAAAACTACAAACAGGTCTTTCTTGGTGAAAATAAAACCAAAGTGCTTCTTGGAGGCAAACAGCATCTCACATATGTTGGGCATGTTGTTAGGAGGGGTCTGCTCTTGGAGAAGCCCATCACATTTGCAAAGTGAAGGGTGAGTATAAGAGAAGAAGAACTTCAACAGTGACTGCAAAATGGACCCAAATATGTCAGAGGTGGTGAGAACGACACTAGATTGAGCAGGGATCAGATTTGTTCATCGGTTTGCTGTGAGTCAAAGTCAACGCAACATCATCTAACAAGAACAAAATTTCAGAGATATAACCTTGCATAAGACAGATGCAGGTCTAAATGTAAGAGTTAAAACTAAAATGCTTTGAAAACAGAATTAAGTTTTTTTGTGACTTTGCATTAAGCAGCATTTCTTATGTATTACTCCAAAAGCAGAAGTAACATAAGAAAAATAAACTGACTTAGGACAGGAGTTTATTATACAGTCTTATAATCCAACAATAAAAAGACAAACAATCCAGTTTAGAATAGACAAAAGATTCGATAGATATTTCTTCAAAGAAGACAAACGGTCAAAAAAATACATGAAAAGATACTAACATGATAGGAGAAATGAAATTGAAGTCACTGCATACCAACTAAACAAAACCAAATCCACTGCCATGGAGTAGATTTGAGGGGTGGAGGGACAGTGCAGCAGAGGGAGATGCCGGATGAGATGAATTGATATAGTAACTGGGGCAATGGGGATTGGTGTGTGAGAATTAGTGAGACTGGCTCACGACAGGGCAGGCTTCAGAGATGCTGCACACAGTGTTGTTATAGGTCGCAGGCTACTCGATGGCATATAACAAGAAGCAATCCTTAATTGTATTTTCAAAGCCATAAATCTTTACAGGAAACTGTCTCAGCTTCCTTTCTTGGAGTAGCAGGTGAATCCAAACCATCAACATCTAGGTTAGCAATACAATTAATTCACTATGCCACCAGAGCACCTTGCACATTCATTTAATCTTGGTAGAAATTCACTTCACCAAACTGAGTATGATACATAGCAGCCCTGTCTTGTCCTGTGCCATCCTCACAGTCTCTGACACACTTGAGCCCATTGCTGCAGTCACTGTGTCAATACAACTGGTTGAGGGTCTTCCTCTCCTTTAC